TCGTCAATGTTGAGCATGTCGACGAAGTTCCCCCTAGGGGAAGGAGGGCGGTGCACCGCCTGCTCATGGGGCCGGAGGGCGCCGAAGCTGCGGAGAACCCATCGTGGGCCGCGCTGGCGATCTCCGCGGCCATGTTGTCGCCCATGGCAAGAGCGCTGAGGCGCGGCGCAAGGTCCACGCCCGCCGGCACGGGGCGCCAGGCTCGGAAGGACTGGAAAAGGTCGCCAGGTATAACCTGGCCCGCAGCGCGCTCCTGCGCGCGCATGCGGGAGGGGCGCGGAAGGCATAGTAAAATTCCCCTCGAATCGTCGCAGGAGATGGCCAGCCATTCTCCTGGGCTAAGACCGAGTCGGCACAACAGGAACCCTTGGCCGAGCCGTTGGGTGCTCGAAGAAACCGAGGGGCACCGGCTGTTGTCGACCGTAGGTTTATGGATCGATCGATCGAACTCGCTGTCCTCTGGGGCTTGGAGGGCCCCGCGCGCCTCTCCCCGGCGGAGATCGGCAGCCGGGGCGAGGTGCAGGGCGCCGCAGGCGTCCCATTTGTGGAGGAGAGCCCAGAGGTCTGCGCGGTCCATGTGGGCGCGTGTCCCTTGCTGGCGCGTAGGCCACTCTGCCAGGGCCCAGAAACGCCTGGCGCACGATCGGGCCAGACAGAAAGGGAGTGGGATCAAACTTGGGCGAATAATCCCACTTGGCGCGGGGCGCCTTGGCCTTGGGGTCGAAAGGCTCGACGCGAGCGGAGCCCCGCGACGCCGCGGCGGCAAGTGGCCCAGGCGCAGGGGGCGCGGATGAAAGACGCTGCCGCATGGGCGCCGGGGCGGCGGAGGAGTGAAGGAGGCCTCCGGCCTTCAGATCTGCAACGTGGGCAGCCAGGCCATTGGGCGAGACCTCGGCGGCATCGAACCCAGCAAAAGCTCGGCCTAAGTCGTTCTTGCCTCCTCGGGCAAGGCGAACTGCAATCGGGCGCGGCTTCTCCATGCGGCCGCGCGCGCCCTCCGGGCAGAGCCAGACCGTAGCTCGCGCGCGAGCCTCGGCGGGAGCGAGACTCGGCTGGCCCAGGGCCAGCCAGTCTAGTGCGATCACGGCGAGTAGAGCTACAGCGCGAGCTGCGCGCCTCAGGCGCCCCCGCCCCCCCGCGCGCGGCCGACCGAAGAAGAAGGCGGCAGAATGGGTGGAGCTGGAGGGCGCGGCCATGGATCGCTGGGAAGCGGCTCAGCGATAGAACCGCCCCGGCCCGATGGGCGCTGAGATGGGCGAGAGGAAGACGCCGGGGAACGCCGCGCCCCCGCGCCCGACCTTGGGCAAAGCAGCCGCCAAGTGGGTGATGTCGATGTCAGCGCCAGGGAATGAGCGCAACAAGGAGGACATATCCGCTGCAAATGGGGCGGTCGGATAGGCCGAGGCCGAGGCGAGGGGGGGAACGGGGGCCGAATGCTGCTTCGCGGCAGGGGCACGGGGGCGACCTGGGGAAGGCGAAGGGCAGGGCGGCTCTCCCGAGGCAAGGGTAGGCGGGGCCCCCCCAGCGCCCGCGCGTGCGTCACCGATGGTGGGCGGACCGAGGTGGTCCGGAGAAGCGACCGCCCTGGGAGCTGAGGAGCTAAGATCGCGCCGGCAAAACGAACTCCCCCTGCGGCGGCACAACGCCCTCGCATTCCCACCTTCGCGACCTCGCCGGGCCCGGGCTCTCCTGGCGGCTGCGGCGGGCGAAGGGGGTGTGCGGGGGCCGAAATTGCTCGCAGAACGGCGGGGCGCCCGAGGCTCCGACGCCCGGCCGCGGCTGCGGGGCGCGCTTCCCCACGCGCGCAGACGCGCGGCGGCTTCGCCGGAGACGCTCGCTCCAGCCTCCGCGACCGGCAGGGCGAATGTCAGCGGAGAGGGCTGACGGGCGGGGGACAGAGCCCCGCGGGCCGCCCGCGTCGGGGCGGCCCATCGGCCTCGAGCTGGCCCGGCGCCCGCCTTGGCCTTGGGCTGGGTCGTTCCCTTTGTCTTCGGCATCGCTTCCGCCTCCGCCTTCGAGTTGGGCAGGCCTTCGAAGCCGCCGCCCAGGCGGGGGCGAAAGGAGGTCAGCTCGTTCATGTACTCGCCCTGGACCGACGGCCAGCGCGGGTTTACCAGCGGCGAGAACGGGCCGTGAGCCTCCCGTCCTGCGCGCAGACGCGTCGCGCGCGTCGGCGGGCCCTCCTGGCCCGTCGCGGGCCGCGCCGCCTCGAGGCGCCCGTGATCCCCCGTTGACGGATCCGCGAACGCGCGCTGGCAGGACAGCAGAGTCCGGGCGCGCTCTGCGTGCAGAACTCGGCATTCAACCGCGCGAAATGGGCCGGCAACTCGCGGGCCGACGTCGCGCCGCCCAAGGGGCTCCGCCCCCGGAAGTAGCCGCGGGCGTCGCGTCTCCCAGGCGGGCCCCGAAGGCGCGGGCCCAAATCTCCTTCATCAGCTCGCTGACTCGAGGCCCGTGCATAGCGAGCGCCCGCTGCCACTCGCGACGTCGCGCGGCGCCCCGCATCTGAGCCGCCGCGGTAGCGCAGTCCACGGGGGGGCCCGAAGCGCCGAAGGCTTCTCAGCAAGCGGGCCCAGCAGAGGACGGGGCGTCGCCCGACGGGGCCTGCCGGCGCGCGGGAGCTTCCCGCAGGCGCGCCGGTGCGAGGTCCAGCGTCGATGGCGCGGTCGCAGCTGGGTCCGAGGACCCTCCCGCGGCGGCCTCCTCGGCGGGAGCGGAACCCCAGCCGGGGGCAGGGGGCCGCGAGGGCGGTCCACCTTCCAATGTGCCTGGGGGCGGCGGAGCCTTGACCGACGCGCCCTCGGGTCGCGGAGCTCCCCGCGCTGCCGCCAGCGCAGAAGCGGGGGCGCCCGTCTCGGCCAGCGCCCGCTGCGGGGCGGGGGGAGCCCGCGTCGCGAAGCTGTGCAGGTCGCGCAGCGGGATCCCGAGACGGGCGGCCTCGCCCTCGAACAGCTGAGGGGCGTCGCGACGGGGCATCTGTGCTTCCTGCGAGGGCCCCGCCAGAGGCGACGCTGGAGCCCGGTGCGGCAGGGCCACCTGGGCCGCCAACATCGCGCGCATCTCGGCCACGACCTCCGCTCTGGTCTTGGGGGCGCCGTCGCCCAGGGCTGCGACTGCCCGACTGGGAGCTCGCGGCTGCGCAGCAAGGGTGGGCGAGGCCGCGATCCCTGCGTGGACCCCCGGGCGCCTCGGAGGAGCCACCGCTGGGGCTGCGGGCTCGCGTTCGGTCGCTTGTCGCCCCCGGACCCGAGATGGGCCCGATCTCCTCGACGCCCTCCGACGCCGTGTGATGCGGCGTCGCCCGCTCGGCTCCTGACAGGCCCTCCTCGCCGTTGGCGGGTGGGGTTCCGTGGAGCGCGGCGAACTGCTCGCGGAGCAGCCTCGCCATGGACGGGCGCGGCCAGTAGTCTCGACTCCGCGCCGTGGCGAACGGGGCGAGGTCGGCCGGCATGGCCGCGAACGGCGGCGTCGAGGACTTAAACTCCAGCTCGTTAACGTCCAAGTCGATCGCCAGAACCGAGGCCTCGGTGGCCAGCGATCGCGAGGCTGTCCCGAGGAGAAGCACGTCCAGCACCCAGTGCGGGCCCAGGGGCCCAGAGAAGCCGCCCACCTCAGCGAACGCCAGATCGGCAGCCGAGCGGAAGGACGAGGGGAGAGCGAGCAACGCGCCAGCATCTCGCTGAACAAACGGTATAGCGGCGAAGCTGCGGCCCCCCTCGTCGAGCCGCCACCTGTCGTAGCTCGTCGCAGATGGCTCCTCGAACGGATGGAGCTCGGGCCACGCGGGGCCTTCTGGTATCGCTGGCGTCGCGGCCATCGTCGCCGGCGCTCAGGGGCTCTCGCACCCACCGTGACACGCGTCGGGTCCGCTGCGGAACTGACAGCGCGCACGTCGCGGGGGAGCCCGCGCGGGCGGCCCGAAGGCCGACCCGAGGGGACTAACCCCGAAGCGGCGACGCGGGCCGAAAGGCCGACGCCGCCGTGCCGCGCGAGGCGGCTTGGAGGCCAGGGCCGTATGCCGAGGCCCGAGCAATTGCCCTCGTTGGCGCTGGGGTTGGCGTGCCCAGCGCACCGCTAACGCGAGCCAGGAAAGGGCTCGCACAACGGACCGCCAGGCCCGCGAGACAGCAGCCCCCGCAGAAACTGCAGCAAACGGTCGCTCCCCGAAGCGAAAGGATCGACGCGAGGGGAGAGACCCCGCCGCTCAAGTCCACCGCCAGCCCGAGGCTGACGGTGGGGCAGGCGACGGAATCCTCGAGAGCAAGGCCCTCCGCTGGTGCTCCGAAGCCCGCCGCATGAGACGGCTAGGAGGACCCGAACGCTGGGGCCTCCTGGTCCGTCAAGGGCAGTGGGCGGCCCGCGAGCCGCTCGAAAAGCGCGGCTCGCAGACCCTGGCAGAGCACAGCACCGTCCGCCTCTGCCAACAGCTCCACAGCGCGGTGCATCAGCGGGCCGCGGGCCGAGGAGGGGGGGCGGCCACTGGGCCGAATCACTGCAGAGACTGCGGGGGGGGGAGTCGCAGAGAATAAGAGGGAGCATTCTCATAAGATGGCAGCGAGATGTCACAAGACAGCCCCGCGAGGGTTCCGACGAGGCCTCCAGGCGACCCAACAAGTGCCCAAGAGCAACAGGAGTCCGAGAGAGCCCCAAGACGCCACCAGGCGGCCCCGAGACACGCCGAAATGCTACATGTGCAAGCTTGCCGCCTGAAGGCCCGCCGTGGACCAGTGACCTGGGTCTTGTAATGGGCCAGTTGCCAAACTGTCCCTTGTGTTCTCCTCCGCCTCCCGCTCCCCTTCTTCCCTCTCGGCCTGGTATGCGCATGCCCTGTGGTCACCAGACAGCATCTCTGCCCTGCGATGCTGTCTACCGGAGGACCCACTTTCACGCGCTGGCCAAACTCGTATGGTTCCCACCATCAACAGGGTCATCCACTTTCGGCCCCCGAGCCCACAAACGAGTTCTACCAGACCTGGTCAGAATCTGCCTGGCTTCCGAAGCTAAAGTGACACTGCCAACCTCCCAAGTGGAAACTGCAATCCGTGCGGAGGCTGGAATCCAATGTGCTCTCCTTCGAAGTGATGCTGCTTTCCGGAACTGTTCTCGATAGGAACGAATCGCGTCTGACCCATTGCTGTCTCGTACCCAAATACCCGGTCACAACTGCCGACATGCTGGATGCAGCATACCTTGGACACGGTAGGCGACGTGATGAGGTTGCGGAACTTCTTGTAGCCGAGGAAACCCTCAGAGACCCACATGCCCGCGCTTTTGTGGATGATCGACTTGAACTGGGCCAGAGGGACTCCGTCTCGGCGCGTCCTCAGGACATCAGCGATTGCGTTGGCGAGCTGCGCCTCCGTGGTGAAGATCACCTGGGAGTCCATCTCCTTGGCAGCAGCCTCTGGGACGAGGGCCTGCACCGAAGGCTGGCTCCACTGCTCTGGTGGCGGCCCGAAGCAGCTCCAGGCATGCTCTTGCACGGGCAGGGAGGCCAACGAGTCCACGCTCGACGCGCCGCTTGAGGGTCTGGAAGAGGCCCAGTGGACAGAACCGGCCCACACAGAGACAAGATGGCACTGCAGGAGCTCGAAGGCGCCGCCACCGTCGGTACCAAAGTGGAAATCACCGGCGAGGCGGTTGGGCGCCACCCACTTCCCCAAGAGCTTGGCGATCGTGCCGCCGCTGGCAGCACGGACGGTCAAGTGTCCGCCGTCGGTCCTCTCGGCAACGACGTCCACGCAACTGCGAAGCATGAACCACGTACCGCTCGCGCGGTGTTTCGTCCAGAAAAGCTCGACCTGCATGGGGATGTTCGTGCCGAGCATGTAGTGCGACGCGCGCCCCTGGTACACCACCGCCCCTTCACGAGGGCGCTCCCAGTCGCCCTCGCCGATCCCTCCTCGCCTCTTCTCGGAGCAAGGCGAGCCGACATAACGGCGGCTCAATATCGATCCCCAGACCCCTCCCGGGGTCCAAAAGCAGATGTTTTCCGAGCTGCGTTCCGCTGTGGCGACGAAGATCCTCCTCAGAGGCCAACTGCTGTTGTCTCGGCTCGCCCTCTTCCTCGCCTCGTCGGCTCCAGAGGCACTGCCGCCCGGTCCTCTGGAGACGCAGAGCAGCTTCACAAACATCCACTTTCGAAGGTCCGCGCGAGGTTCTTGGATCGGCGCTGGGCCCCCCCCCTGGCGCGAGGCGCACAATGGGGACGGCGTTGGATGCGCCGCCAAGGGGGGCCCAGCACCGATCCAAAAAGTCTGCGCGGACCTCCGAAAGTTTGCGTTTATATTTCCCCACGTTATAAATGGTGTTCTTGTTTTCTTTGGACACCCCGCGTGAGAACAGGAACAGGACACCCCCCACCACATCATCATCATCATCATCATCATCATCATCATCATCGTCGTCATCGTCATCATCATCCTTGTCATCATCATTGCCATCATCACCACCATCACCATCACCATCGTGATCATCATCATCATCTTTCTCAGTACCCTCTCTTCCTCACTCACACACGCACACATATCCACACTCATCATCATCTTCATCAAAATCTTCATTTTCATCATCACTCAATTCCTCACTCACTCCCTCACCCACTCATCATCATCACCGTCATTATCGACATCACTTCCACACTCATTCACGCCCACACGCGCAAATACACTCACACACTCACGCACTCACGCATTCATCTTCAGGACGTCTAAGGCGGGAGCCTCGCCTGTAAATTAATTGTGAGGAAATCTCAAGTGGGACCCCCCTCCTATGGGGCCCGCATCTCACGCTGGTAATATTAACGGGCCATCCAAATCTTTTAACTGTCGTCACTTTTGGGCCCTTCGCGCCTGAATTTGGAAGAAGCCTCAGGCGGGAACCTCATATGTGAGTTAATTGCGAAAGAGTCCCTGGCTGGAACCCCCGCCCTATGGAGCCCGCGTTTCATGTTGGCAATCCGGACGGGTCATCCCAATTCCGTATTTGTGGCCCCTCGCGCCTGAATGTTGAAGAAACCTCAGGCGGGAACCGCACCTGTGTCAGTGAGCTGCGCAGAAGTCTCAGGCGGGAGTCACCATCGATTCCGTCGAATTTCACCCAGACGACGAAGGGCAGTATGAGGAGTGCGCTCCGAGCCAGTGTTTTCTTCCCCGCTGCCTACCACAAAGAAACTGGCTGCATGTGCGCGCCTTGGAAGAATCTCGGATCTACGAGGAGTCGCCGGGGTGCTGCTACAGGGCGCCGGACGCGCTGACGATGACGGCGAGGCCGAGGCGCGGGCGAGAAGCTTGATGATGTTCAGGCCCAGCGAGCAGGAGCTCACCTGGCAAACCCGGGGCCGCACGTCGTGCGCCGCTCGGGGTTCACCCTGACGCACGCGTCGTGCCTGACCTCCAAGCTCTCGCAGGGCCAGGGCGTCACCGTCGACTGCGCAAGGGATGAGGACGCCGCTCGCGCGAGCATGTCGGACGAACATTGGTGGCTGCGCCTCTAAGTCACGTTCTCCCGCGCCGCGCGCATGCGGAACATGCTGACCCGGCGCCCGCCCACGCGAGCCTTCTGGAGCTCGGGCAGCTGGCGTTTCTCCGGAAACCGCCCCGGAAGTTCGACGGGATAGCGGATCTCCAAAACCGAGGCGGAACAACTCGCAGCATGGCTGGGTTTCGCGCTGCCCCCCGCCTGAGAGCGGCCGCGCCCACCTCAAGGCCCGCGGGGATGTCCCAGCGGCCCAGCCCGCGGGTTTGTCCCGACGGCCTGCCCCCGCGCCCCAGCGGCCCGTGGGCTTGTCCCAAAGGCATGGCCCGCGGGATTGCCCCACAGGTTTCATGGTCTAGCCGTCGGCGAACGCGCGCGGCCTGGCCGACGCGGCGACAGCGCCGAGGAAGATCGACTTGCTTGCCCCGACTAGAGGGAAGGGGATGTGCACATGGAGAAGAGGCAGGAGGATCAGGAGGGGGGAAGGGGTAGGGGGATGATGATGATGAGGAGGAGGAGGCGGAGGAGGAGGAGGTGGAAACAGAGGAAAAGGAGAAGGAGGAGGAGGATAAATAGAAAGAGGAAGAGGAGGAGAAGGCAGAGCAGAGGGCGAGGTGAGGGCGTCCGCCAGGGCGAGGAGGAAAGGGCCACGGGCAAGCAAAACAAGTTATCCTGTGGGGCCCTACCGTCGGAGTAGTGCTTTTTTGTGATTCGACTCTGGGCGTCGGCAGCTCCACAAGTCAAGTCTGCCAGTTTCCTTTCCTCCCCCTTCTGGCAAGGGCTTGCCCCTCCGCGTGCCCACGCTGGGTCTGGACGGGGGGGGGGGGAGCAGTCAGAGGGCCCATTTGGGCCCAATATCGTTCCAACATGGCTCCATATGCCATATGGTTCCTTCTTAAAAAAAGAAAAGAAGAGAGAGCGATTAGATGAAAGGATTTCTTTCATTTCTTTTTTATTGTTCTAACATCTTTTCTTCTTCTTTGGTTCCAATATGGCCTTCTAGATGGCCTCCAAGAGACCGTGAAGTGGCTTCGAACCCTCCCCCAGACAGCCAACATCGCTGAACGGCCTCAAATTCGCCGGCCCAACGGGCCAGAGGCGTGCTAAGATCTCCGGTAACTACTTAACAATATTTCTAATTCGCGCGCGCGGGGCGGCCCCTGGGGGCCCCTGGGCGAAAAATACCCCGGCCGATCCCCGGCGTCCCGGCCGGGTCCCGGGCGATCCCCAGGGGGGAGGCTATTTTTCGCCACCCCTCACGAGGATCGTGGCCTCCGAGGGGGTGGCTGCAATCGACTACCCCCCCTCCCGCCTTAAGGGGCCCCCAAGAGCCCCTAAGAGGCCCCAGGGGAGCCCAAGACGCCGCCAAGGAGCCCCAAGACGCTCCCAAGAAGCCCCCAAGAGGCCCAAGACGGCCCCAAGAGGCCCCAAATAGCGCTCCAGGGCCGGCGGAATGAGCGAAGCGATTAAATAAATGTCAATAATTTTGAGCTTCTCACCGTTCCGCTCCCGACGGGCCTCAAGAGTGCATCAAGAGAGGCCCAGAAGGACACAAGAGGGTTCCACAGCCCCCCGAGTGCGCCTTAAGTGGAAGCTAGCGACGACGACGACGGCGGCGACGGCGACGGCAGCAGCGGAATATAGGCATGTGCCAGCTTTTCGGTGTCGGCAACCATCAAGTAGCCCTCGGGATTTTTGTGTTGCCCATTATTGGGGGGTGCTAATGACCTATCGCGGTTGATTTGCACACCTCCCTTTCTTGATCCATGGTCTCCTGCATCGGCCCACGGGGCTGGGGCGGCATCGGGTCGCCTTCGACAGCGGAGTGTGCGGGGGGGGCCCGCGCGCGCACGGAGCAGGCACCGAGAGAGTGGCCAGGGCCACAAAAGGCTGCACCCCAAGATGGATACCGCAGGTTCGTGTCGTGTCGACCCCGGCGTTGGTTCCTGACACCGCGGGGATTGTTCAACCTTGAACGATCGGCCGTTTTCGATACGTCGGATCATGCAACATCGACCGATTTTGGGTCGCCGGCGGCGTCCAACGTCGAATGCCAGGGGCGGGGTCGCCGCCGGTAGACACGACGCTAACTTACCGTACTGGGCATCATGTCTGAGACTGTACTGGGAGATGGACGTCGTTACGCACCGCTTGCTGTGCAACTCGTTGCTGCCCTGCTCGTTTTGGCATCATGCCATAATCTGAACGGTTTCACAACCCGCCGTGAAGCCCCACCAAACGTCAGGGCGTAACCAGCCAGGGGGGATCAGCCCCTCCAGCCTCCTCGGCTTTCCCTTCGGGTGGGGACTTCCCACTGCTCCTTCACTGCTAACGCACTCACGCCCACGCATGCTCACGCACGCACGCACAAACACACACAAACACACACACACACCACACACACACAGACACACAGACACACAGACACACACACACACTCACACACACACACGCACACGCACACACACACACACACACACGCACACGCCAACGTACAGACACACGCACACGCACACGCACACGCACACGCACACGCACACGCACACGCACACGCACACGCACACGCACACGCACACGCACACGCACGCGCACGCGCACGCGCAAGCCCGCGCCCACGCGCACGCCCACGCCCACGCCCACGCACACGCACACGCACACGCACACGCACACGCACACGCGCACGCACGCACACACACATACACACAAACACACACAGACACACACAAACAGACATTCACACTCATAACACACACAGAACACACAGACACACACAGACACACAGACACACACAGACACACACAGACACACACAGACACACACAGACACACACAGACACACAGACACACAGCCACACACAGACACACACACACGCACACACACGCTATCACGCTCAGACGCACACACTCACACACGCACACGCACACACACGCACACTTCTGTTTTTGGCATCGCGGCCTTGCACGCAGCGACCGACAGGGCGGACAAAGTCCGGAGCAGCAATCGTGCTCGCGTCTAAGCGGCCGAGCCCTGCACACGCACACACGCACACACACGCACGCACACACAGGCACGCACAGACACACAGACACACAAAGGCACACACACAGACACACACAGCACCACACACAGACACACACACAAACAGATACACACAGGCACTCTCAGACACACACACACAGACATACACACATAAACACACACGCACGCACACACACAGACACGCACAGACACACACAGACACACGCATACACACAGACACACACACAGGCATACACAGACACACACATACACAGACACACGCATACCCATACACATGTGGAGAGCAAATAGTGTGCAATCTACTCTGTTCGCGTGCCAGACAACCAAGGTGGCCAACGAGTCGCAGCTATGTGGCCGGTCCCCGGTGCGCAGTTAGACCCCAATTAGACTTGCGCCCGCCTGCATCGGCCACGCGGTCGGGACAGCTACGCAGCGCGTTTCCCAATCAAGCTGATACTCTTCTGGGTCTTACCCTGGGCTGTGGCTTCGCCGTCCCCTTCTTTCTGGGGAGCCTCGAACCGTCCCGCGGGCTGTGGTTTCGCCGTCTGCTTCATTCTGGGGAGCCGTGATCGTCCCACGCCTGTCTCAAGGCCGGTCTGGTGGCGCCACTCGGCGCTCACCACGGCGCGTCAGTCTCAAGGCTAGTCTGGGGGCGCCACTCGGCGCTCACCGCGGCACGTCTGTCTCAAGGCCAATCTGATGGCGCCATTCGGCGCTCGCCACGGTTGAGGGTGCCGTGATCGTCTCCCGGGCTGTGGCTTCGCCGTCTGCTTCTTCCGGGTAGCCCTGATCGTCCGACGTCTGTCTCAAGGCCGGTCTGGTGGCTCCACTCGGCGCTCATCGCGGCACGCCTGTCTCAAGGCTAGTCTGGTGGCGCCATTCAGCGCTCGCCGCGGCATGCTGTATACTTGCATTGACTTGTTTCTTTCGGATGAGCATGCAGCGCATCCGCAACCATATTGGTTCAACCAAACGGGCTTGTAGCTAAGGGGTGATACTGTAACCTACCCGAGCGCAGACTGTGCATGGGAATAACGATGTTCCGACCGAGGACACAGCGAGCCAGCGTGCAAGTACGGGCCAGGACCGAGTACTACGCAGGGCTCCTGAGGGAGGAGCAAAATCAGCCACATCAGAGCGAGGCCCACGGAGAGGCCAACGTGAACGAGGGGTCCTAAAACGTGAAACAACGCACAGACACACACACAGACACACACACACACAGATACGCACAGACACACACAGACACACACAGACACACACAGAAACGCAAATATACACACAAACAAGCACAGACACACATAGACACACACAGACACAGATACGCACAGACACACACAGACACACACAGACACACGCAGACACACACAGAAACGCAAATATACACACAAACAAGCACAGACACACATAGACACACACAGACACAGACACACGCAGACACACGCAGACACACGCAGACACACGCAGACACACGCAGACACAGACGCAGACACAGACACACACACACACACAAACACACACACACACACACTCACACACACACACTTACACACACACACACTTACACACACACACTTACACACACACACTTACACACACACTTACACACACACACTTACACACACACACTTACACACACACACTTACACACACACACACTTACACACACACTTACACACACACACACTTACACACACACACACTTACACACACACACACACTTACACACACACACTTACACACACACACACTTACACACACACACTTACACACACTTACATACACACACACACACATTCACACACACACATTCACACACACATTCACACACACATTCACACACACGCACACGCCCACGCACACGCACACGCACACGCACACGCACACGCACACGCACACGCACACGCACACGCACACGCACACGCACGCACGCACGCACACACGCACACACGCACGCACGCACGCACACACACACACACGTAGACACACACACACACAGACACACATAGACCCACACACGCACAGCCACACACAGGCACACACACACACAGAGACACATTATCAGACACATACACACAGCCACACACACACAGGCACACACACAGCCACTCACAGAAACACACACACACACACACAGACGCACACAGAAACACAGAAACACAAAAGAAACACACAGACACGTACGCACGCATCCGTAGCCAGTTTGTCTCAAAGCAATGCGTCGCCCGACGGCCGCGAGTCCGAGTGGGTGCTCTGAACGCGAGGGGGCGTGCTTTGAGCCTGAATCTCGGAAAACGTCCCCGACTACTGGCCAGTTTTGGCCCTCTGCCCTGTGCGCGGCGGTATTGTTGTGCTGAGCGTTTGCCCACTCACAGAACGATGGTGCCCCAGCCAGGTGCGGGAGGGAAGGCTGGCGGCAGCCCGCAGGGTGGCAACGGCGGTGGCCTCGCCAGCTCGAAGCGCGAGGACATGCGCGCAAAGTGGAAGTGCTGTTTCTGCGTGGACGGCGCTGGCAAGCTCTGCGTCACCTCACGCAGCTGCAGCGCAGGAACTGCAGGCACCAACGGGGGCGCCTTACTGCGCAAGGAATTCGGAACCAACGTCCCCTCCCACGTCCGAGAACAGTTTGCAGGCGGCGTCCCAAACTGGGAGGCTGCAAGGCTCGAGAAGGAGAAGGCCGCCGAATTCGCCAAGTCCAGGGAAGCGGAGCTGCACCGCATGCGCGCCGAGTTGGTCGAGATCAGGCGCAAGATCCGCACGGCTTCCCAGTCTAGCGACGCCGCCAAGAGTGCACCTGCTGACGCTGGTGGCGCGGGTGGCTCCCCATGCGCCGACGATCCGCATGCAGGTACTCGGCGCCGAAACCGATTGGTTGAGTTTCGTGGACTGCTGGCCTCGCTGGGGCAGCTCGCCGACCCCGCGGTGGAGTGCGCACGCACTACGCGCGCGAAGAACAGGAGCGGCTTCAGCGGGTCAAGCCTGTTGGCACCAAGCCCTGCAGGGGCGCATCGACAAGACATGCAATGCCATCCTCGACGGCGAGGAAGGTTTCGCCCGCGCCAAGGACAAGATGCAGCGGCTGCAGAACTAGCTGCGCGACCAGGAGGCCAAGCTCGTGGTGCAACGACCGGAGCTTCTCGACCTTCAGGGCCGACAGAAGAAACGCTGCGGAATGCTGCTCCTCGGATTCCTGTGCCTGGTGCTGGCCACGCGAGCGGGCAGGACATCCTTCCTGGCCTTGGGCTATCCGTGGGATCCTTGGACAAACTCCTGGAGGACGGACAGGCACCAGCGCAGCTCCGACGCAGCATCATGGAAGTCATGGCGCAGCTCGCGAAACTTAGCAAAATCATGACGGGCCCAACCGCGCCTGGCCGGCCGGGCACACAGGGTGGCGCCTAGCCTGGAGCGCGGCATGGCACGCCCCCATTGGCCCACAACCCCGTTAGCATGGCCGTCGACGGGCTCTTCGACGACGATGCGGAGCTGGACGAGGCCACGGAGTGCTTGCACCAAGCGAACGCTGACTTCCCTCATAATGATGACCCAGTTATGCATGCAGCGGTCAAGCGGATCAACGCACTGCTGCGGCTCCAGCAAGGCCGGTGCACTGCAAAGCGACCACTCACACCAGCCGCTGCAGCCGCTGCAGGATCCGCCGCAGCCCCTGCAGCAGGCGCCACAGGCCCAACCGATGCGTCTCCCACGCCCACCGTCCATGCAGCGCAGCCGACGAGGTGT